TGAGTAATCAAGAGTTGCATGGTGCTCAAACAAAAGACGAATCGACGAGATTTGAAAATCACGTAAGTCGGGGTAGCGTAAGTCGAGATATTACTGTATTAATAATGAACTTGAAGTCTGCAAGATAGGTCAAAATGTTATGATGTATAAGTATGAATAAAATAATATAATTAGAGTTGTAAATTTAATACAAATATACTTTATTACACATACGTAGAATATTATTACAATGAAAGGTGTTATTTTAAAGGAATTTATCTATAAATTATCTGTGAAACTACACCCGTTTTAGATATCCCACAGTGTCCATAATATGTTGTCAAGATGTTCATAGTGCATTTGTAAAGCTGTTGATAGCTAAGTGTACTGTTTTAAACATTTTGATTGTTAATAGTTTATAATTTTAACGTTTTGTAAGTCTGAGTCTTGTAATAAATTCTTTAGGATAATGTTTGCCTTATATTAAATTTCATCTAACTGAAGAGGGTCATTTACACCAGGGGTCGAAATGCATTTTAGGAGATATATAAGACATTAATAGTTTCATGTGTGTGATAATCCTTTTATTGTAATAATATTTTACGTATTTAATACATACATCTTAAAGGAATTAAAGGCTTATTGTTAATTGTAAAGTTGAGGTGCTCCTCCTTTTCAAAGCATTATCATAAGTTTTAATAATAGTTTTGTTTAACAATTAATTTTTTATCATTAAATATAGTACTAGTTTATTTTATATGTTAAGCAATAAGTCTCTACGATGTTAAGGAAAAAATTCTTTACAAACATGTGAGAGTGCAATTTCTATAGTGTATATCCACCTTATCGTTTTCCACGTTATCGAAGAAAACATAAGCTAACTCGGGCGACCTTTACCCTCTATTTTCCGAGTTAGCGGGGTTTACGAAATAAATACATTATTCAATAATAATAGAAAAGGAAGATTATTACTATTAAATCCAAGAAAAACTTTTTTGTCCAAGACGATTTTGTTTTAAAATGATACTCTACATACTGTAAGAAACATTTCAGTTCGTGTGTTCATTCAATATACGATGCGATAGCCTTCTCTGCAAAAAATGCAGTTTGCCAGAAATTGTTTTTTATATAAAAATACATTTCTGGAGTCAGCTATTTTTTTTAATAACTCGACTGTTAAGGTAAAATGTCAATATAGTTAGACCGTATAACGTAAAAGTTAGTGTGGATAGTTTTATCCATGTCAATGTATGAAAAAAAGTGTTTTAATTTTTTTTAAGAGTTCAAACTGTGTTGTCTGTGTGTGTATAGGTATATATATCATTTTCAGTTTGATTTTGAAAATTGTTACTTTTGTTGTCTTTTCAATTGTTTTTATTCCTATTTATATCAAATAGCAATATCCTTTAATTAGTAAATATTGGAAAAAACAAGATTGTTTAATGTTAAAAATTAAAAATAATTAGGATATGTAATTTCGAAAAATGTGAAATGACTTTGAATGTGAGAAATTAATCGAATGCTTAAATATGAAAGGTGACTATAATATAAAATTTCATTATCTTCTATTTGGATAATAATTCTGTTTTAACAAATAGAAATTTAAGTTTTTTTAAAGAAAAATTTATTATTTCAGTGCAATTATATTTAAAAATTGCACAGATATTTATGGATTATTTCTAATTTAAATTAAAGTTTTTAAATCATAAAAACATATTCCATTTTTAGATAGATTTTTATTATTTATTCGGCGAATTTTCTGTTAGGTAATCCATATAAACTTATTGTTTTGTAGACGAATAAAATAAAATTTAGGAATTATATATCTGAGTATTCTCGAAAATTTTGTTAATAATTCTAAATTAATAAGACTGATTACTTAGATGTATATATATTGAATTATTTTATGAATAAATATGAATATAAAATTGATTACTTAGATGTATATATATATCCTATATATTTGTATAAAATCACTTATGAAGAAAACATTAATTAGGACTCTTCGTTTCGTTATAAATCATTTTTATTAATGATTTAATGTACTGTAAGTTATAATTGAATGAATTTAGCATCTATTTACGAATATTTTATTTATGTATTACACAATATATTATTTTTATAGGCCTATATATGCTATTCTAAATTTACATTTAAATAAAAAAAAATTCATTTCTACATTGTCATCGTTAATTATATTTTCATTCTTTTGATAGAGATGCTCAGCTTGAAAGATTGGGTTTGGGTTTGATTATGACATTATTACTAAGTTTTCGCAATATTTATTGAAATTTTATTTTAAAATTATTAATTTATTTTTAAATAGTGGATTAATGAAAGCGCCCTTTTATACAAATATCCATTTTTAATACAATATTTTATTTTCAAAGATGCAAACAATTTAAATGAAATAAAAATATATTCTTAAAATTCTCATTATAATTAGCATGTAGATTATAATTTCATGAAATTGAGAAAAGCGTTAATTAGAAAAAAATGATGTAAAGTTAGTCGTCCTGTTTGATATTGAACAGAATCTTAGTTTTACAAAAGAATTCTTTTGATACTGTAGTAGAGGAAAAATTTAACCTAGGGTATACTGTAATTCAATATAAATTGGAAAGTAATTGTCTTTATCTAAACTGATTATCGTAAATAATTATCTTAATTATTTAATTGAATTCTCTAGTCGAAATTTCATTATACTCTTCTGGTTTTAATCATTATTAGAATTTATTTGCATTTTTAATGTTAATTTCATGCAGTGGTTAAAAATATCGAGAAAACTACTACTCGTAATAAATTTTATAAGACTTTCGGAATACTACATATTATATTATAATTAACAGTTCTAACAAATTTTATAGTATTTCTGTGATGCTCACGATATCTAATAAGTGCCGTATTATGTTGTAGATGTACTGTTTAGAACTTTAGAACAACATTATTGAAATAATCCAGCAATACGAAGGAATTTTATTTGTGCAGAAAATGCCTGCTTCAAATCTATATTTTTATTTTAAAATATCAATAATTTATAAGTATCAATTACATTCCAAAACAGTTCGAGCTACTTGGGGCTTTTTCCGAAATTTTCTACTTAACTAATTTTTAATTGAAATTTACTATTATATAATTAATTTCATTGTTTATTCTTGTGTACTGTACAGTACATCTTAAAATCGCTCTTGACTCTTACAGTGAGATCCTTTAGGTGGGACTACAATATTGAAATTAGTTGGTCTATTATGGTTTTCGTTTAAAGCAACTTTAAAAGGCAATTAAATTCGGAATGAAAAATGTTTAAATGCGTATTATTGCATTGAAAACATAGCAGTTTTTTTTAAACAGAAAATTACTGCAAATTTCATTAAAACGCAAAATTAACTGAAAATTTTTTTTATACTCTAAAGATAAAGAAAACGTATCTGTTCCGAATAAATTTTTTTTAGTAAATAATGGTTTAAAGCCCGTTGGTATTTTAATTATATTTATTTAGCATATTATTAACGAACTTTAATAGGGTTCATCAATAACGCTATTGTTTAGTTATTATCTGCACCTATCTCCAAATGCTAGTGAAAACGTGTAGTAATGCAAATTCGCTTGCTCGTGCTGTTATGCAAATAATCGGAGAAAATATATAAATAGCTATGCAATTTTTCACTGGTTCTGTTTGATGTAAGTTATCACGTACAGAAGATTCGAACCAATTGTGTTGTCCGTGTAGAACTCCAAGAGTACTGTACAAGTTCTATAATTTGCTTATGCAACGCGTGATGCTTCTTCGATCAATGGTGTAGGTAGGAAATAAGTCCTTTAAAAATAAATTTGTCTTGATTTAATCGGAAAGCGCAGACAAATTATATATTACATCCATGGCCGTCGAGAGGGAGCTGAAGATTATTTTTCCTGGGCCTGTAGAAAAGTTAGGAGCTCGTGATTCCTATCCAGTTATTTTTACTAACAGAAAATAGTCTTTAAGGCCTTTTTTTCTATTAGTGAAGAAACATTCTACGTACTTCATTTATTCAAAAAGGCCCTGGGTTCCATACAAGCTGTGGATGGCCCTGTTTACATTAAATTATAAAGCATTAAACTTTACGTAAAATCAAAATTTCAAACTCTAAATCTTAAAATTGATTGTATTAAATTCAACATATGATTGTATTAGTTTTAAAACAATTTTGAGGATTTTTTAAAATATAGAACTTTATTTACAAAAAAAAAAAAAAATGTATACTAGTGTCATTTTTCATTCAATCATAGCGAATCGCGAATCTCCTTTCAATCTGCCATTAATTTTAATGAAGAGCGCACACCCTCTTGATAGTGATATCTATGCATGTTATGATGTTTTTCGTGTATAAACTTATTTCTAAGAGTGTTTTGTTATTTTTATTTCTTGAATTGTTCCTTCGTTTCATTGTTCTTGCCAGGTTAATGTAATTAGTCAATAGAAAATTATTCGTTAGATCCGTTAGAAAAAATTATTCATGCCATTAGCACTATCAAGCTACGAATTCTTTGCTTCATTCATACATATTTAATTATTCGCAACGTATATAAGTTATTTATTGTTCAAGTTTAGAGTTAATAATTTATGCCACCTGTAATATTTTCTTTAATTAAATATATAACAAAATAATACGTAAAGAAATCTTGAAAAATGAAAGTAATTGTTGTGAATATAGTTTTAATTAATAAAAGCAATCATAGAACCATGCTTAAATTCTATTGAATATTTAGACTTTGATTCTAAGATAATTATTTTCAATATTTATCAAAATAACTATTGTTGCGCAGTTGTAAAAGCTTATCTAATAAGTTTTGATTTATTTTAGTAGATTGCAGTAAATAAAATCTAGCAATTGAACATTATTCATGAAGAATCGAGATAAATGAATTTATAATTGTAACTAAAACTTTAGAGTTTACAGAAAGTTAACCTAAACGAATTAATACTTTCAGATTTCACTCTTCCGTCTTCGATTTATTCATATAGTAAATTTATCTTTCAGACTTAATCGAAGAATGGAAATCTCTGCAACAGTCGGTGGCTTCGAAACAGAAAAGTAATTGTGCTCGACAGTTGTCTGCTGAATATGTGGCCATTCAAAAATCATTAAACGAATTAGCCGAGAAGATATCCCAGTTAACTACTACCCCTTTTCAGCGTAATACTACCCTCGATATATTACAAGAGCGAATAGCTGCACTACAGGTGAGATTCTTGCTCAATATTTTTCCCCATCATCTCACTACGATGTAAATTCTAGTCTGGCTGCCATGCCAACCCAAAAGTAAATATTTGTATAGAGTTTTCGTTAGATTTTGGTATTCCGACCGGTCCACGCGAGGTAATTGTAGAATCGAGCCGGACCGTAGTGTGTCCAAAGCACCCCGAAGCGAGATAAGGCTGGAAAAGAGGCCAGTGACAAATTCACTTAGGGAATCTCCCCTCTCTTCTACCGTCCGATGTTTGACCTGTCATCACATCCCTGAGGCAACGCATGAATTTTCCATGGCGATTCTGTGGACAACTCAGGTGCGAAGTCTACGATCATGTCCGGTTATTTTAAGTCATATTTTTATGATTTGCTTCCTCTGTCTGTCTGTCTGTCTCTGTTTTTTGCACGATTTTGGAATGTTAAATGCCTCTTCAATAAATATTAATTTCGGAAAATTAAAATGGATCGTGCAACAAAAGTTTTGCAGGCAAAAAAAAATCGAAAACATCCCTCTTATTGCCCTTGGCTTGCTTACAGAAAATTGGCATTAATACCCGGGTTAATATACGAAGTTCTTATAATTATTATTATTTATTAAGTGGGGCGTCGATAAATTTAAATGGCTCTTCCAAGATTTGGGCGGAGAATCATCGATCACAATATACAGGATTAAGTTGGACAACTAACTGGGATATATGGGTTAGGGTTCTAAATATGTATGAGTTCTTATTGACCAGTTCTGAAAAGCGCATCCTGCTAATTTTTCCCCCTTCTCTTCCGCCGTTTAGGATGTTTTGGGCGGAGCGGTTTGTTGCGAAATCCTGCTTATTATTGAAAACATAATGCCGTAGTTTAAATAAGCTTTGACATTATGCAAGTAACACCTTGTTATTTTGCATTACTATAGTATTAAGTGTCTTTGGTAACGGACGAAATGACTAACATCACAAATGAAAGAATTTTTTTTCTTAACAGATGTCACGTTCGACACTTCAGGAGACTAAAGACTCTCTGTTAGAGGTTAGCAAACGCATCGTTCGATTAATGTCTGAGGCGGACCTTATGACTTGTCCACTTAAGGAACATTTCAACAAACTGTACCAAAGATGGGAAGATATCTACGAAGAGTAAGTTTTTGTTTTTTCTAATCTGAATATCCTGAAAAGTTTCTTCATCTATTGGCATTGGTAGGAGGTAATTGTCTAGAGGGAAGGTTTGCCTTTTTTTCGATAAAGGGTAAGGGGTCCGGTGCGTTATTTAATGAGAATTTTCTTTACGGCAGGTGAGATGCGGGCCTCCCCTCCCCTCACTCTTGCGGCTTATTGTACTGTCCCCTGTTTCTCCCTCTTGTCTGTGTTCGGTCATAAATCGTCGCTCGCCGTTAAAGTCATCGGTCCCATCAAGAATTGATGACTTGGACAGATTAGGGGAAAAGATCCCGTGCGGAGAGGGGTGAACAGTACCAGTAGGTGGCTTTACTTTTTATGTGTAGGACGTTGAACCCGCACTCTCCACTGTGTACGCGTGTTTTTATAGGATTAAATTCAGTTTCGTATCCGAAAAAATTCATTTTAATCCTCTGTTTAGTACGTAATCCTTTAAATCATTTTAGAAAAGTAAAAAGTTAGGTTTTTGTTAGAAAAGACGATAAAAATGAAAGTAATGCCATCTTCGACGTCCGCGAGATAGCCTCTGAAAGTTAAATGATTTGGGTTGTTTTATTATTATTACTATTACTATATAATTGTAATTATCTACGATTCGTCTCTATTCGACTACATACATCTATACACATTTTTTATTCTTAGTTGGATGGGATGGTTATTGGTTTTTCCTCACTTCTCTCCCTAGCATGTTTGAGATCAGCAGGGACACATCTGGACCCCTGCCAGGTCCGTCGACATTCGTCATTCATCAAATGACGTCAGACGGCCTTTATAATGAAGCTATTAATATTCACACCAGTTGGATATTCATCCGTCCGACTCTCCATAAGTCATCGATGTCGATTTAAGCGAGATTGATTAAAATACTTCGCCGTCAAAATTTTACCGGACTAGTTTAAGAGTTTGTCGCTAGATGGCGTATTTTGCTCACCCTGGTCTTTTTGTTGCAGGAATGGAACACACTTGACCGACCTGCAACAGTTGTATCAGAAATGGAATAATTGCGATGTATTGTGTCAACAATTACAGAAAACCTTGGAAGCCACACGATCTTCTGAGGTATAAACTTCTGAATAAATTAAGCTGCGGTCCGATGTCAAATCGTGACCTTTCCGAGTTAATAAATTAAACGAATAAATGTAGATAAATGTGGGTCACGAGCTTTTGTTATTCCCTAGGTGAATAAGGAGATAGTAGAATCGGCAGAGAAACAGTTGGATAAATTGAGGACGATGCTGGCAGAAGTTAAAGATTTATTGGGTACCGGTGAACCATGGAAGAAATTAGCAGAACGTGTGGCTGATCTTCAATCTAAAATATACGTCAGAGATGTCAGGTAAGGAAACGGTTCGACCAGTTCCCGGTGTTGTCGCCTCCAACGGGTCGAAGGATCGCATCCAACATGACAATTGTCAGCGATTAGCATGATGTGGCCATTTGAAAGCTCGACGGCAAGTTCGATGCCAATGGGTCGTGCACCGAGGGATTTTCGGGTCCCCCGTTCCTTTATCAGTCGCGTAAACGCGCTATAAGTCAAGTGGGGGAGTCTGGCCCACGAATCGAAATTGCCTCATTGCTTCTATCGTCTCGCGATCTTAATGGATGCCGACGCCTACTCATCCCAGAAACTGGTGACGGAATCTGTACATTTTGTTGCTTTTCGGCTAATTGCTAATGAATGAATGTAGTCGTAAAACCCTTATGTTATTTCCCTCGGCGGATTAAATGTTATCTCTTACCTCCGAGCTTATCTTACTCTCTCACCTTTTGTGTAATTTCTCTTTTCAGTTGTGCACCGGTTCACACGGAACAGCCCGGACCCACTAAGAGATTTTGGAGGATTATACGATTTGCAATTCCCATCCAGTTGGCCCTGGTGTTGTTGTATTGTTTAGCCTGTCTACTGGAGCCACGATGTTGCGATTTGGTCAACAATCTCAACTTCTCCCTGACTCCTCATTTGCGTTACGTTCGTGGACCTCCACCCGTATGAAAGAGCCCGATGCCGACTAGAAAGTCGGCTTACCGAACCCGTTCGTGCGTCTTGCAATGCGTGCGTGCGTTGGCATTGCGAGGAACCTGCGCAGCAAGAAGTATTAATCCAAAAACTCCCGTTCCCGTGTCGGTGCGTGCGTGCCTGTATGCGTTCGTTGCGTTATTATCGGACCAGTTTCCCCTATGATTTTCTCATCGCTTAATTTTCATAATCATTCCTTAATTTTAGGGAACATAACCTTTTTTTATATAACTTTTTTTAATCGTATGTTTCTTTATCCGAGAAGAGGACCCTTTAACCGTCTCGTCCGATTATTTGCGTTTTGTTGCGAGATATACGCAGTATTTAAACGGGACCCATGGACGAGTATTATTTCTTTGATTGTCTTCAGTTAATCGTATATCGTTAGTCAGTCCTGTGGTCAAAGCGTTTAGATGTACGTTATGCGCACGATGATATATTTTGGGGTAAGGTGTGATCACCGAGATCAGGAGGAAATTTGAACACGTATTGGCTGTCTTACCATTACCACTTCGTGTGTCACGTTTTACGTATCACGTCAGCACGTTAGACGTTAGTTTAGGATTTTAATAATCCTGTGACACTGCCTTCCATCATGTATGTAGTGGTCGAATGGAAGTAGCCCTTTCTTGACAATTACGTCAAGTTTTAATTCATCAATTAGTTGATTATGATTATTAATTAAAACAATTAATCAATAAAAGTCAAATTGAAATTTTACCAGTTGTTCTGTTTTTTATTTATTTAAAAATAAAACTTGTGCTATTGGTCATGTGAGTTTGCATACTGCAGTCGACTTCAATCTTCGGTGTCTGGATATATGCAAATAATTACTTTTCTTTATCGTAGCGCTACGAGTTTCGATTTTCCGAAACAATTGAGTTTTATCTTTTGAAGGAAATCATGAACTTGATACTCAATCTCCCAAGTAACTCTAGATTGACTCAATTACATCAATCGTTTGTCAGGAAATTGGTAGAGAACCTGTTTGATTTGAAACACGAAAGAAAGAGATTGGATCTGATCTCTCTCTCTCTCCCTTTTTTCCTTCGCGTCCGTTTTTTTGAAGCGTGTGACAAAATGGCTTCCAGGCGGTCAGACCAGTAGCGCCTCCCGCCACCAGAGCTCGATGCACTCGAATCGGACCAGGTGGTGTGTTTGAAACAATTAGGGAGTGGCCAAAGGGAAGCGACTAGGCAGGTGACTGCACCTAAATGCACTGCTTCGCATGCCACTCATGTGCACAGATGCATGGCCACGGGTGACGCCTTCTCCCTAAATGATTTCCCGGTTATCGGACGAAATGTATTGACGGACCAGCTGGCCATTCTTACCCTCCCACGGGGTCTATCCCCTCTGGCCACTATCCAGTCTAGCATTGTCGCCATAACACCAATAAATCCATTACGCTTTTACCATTATAAAAAAAAAAATCTCACTTAAGAATCGATCTGTTCGATAAATCTATTGGTCTCTGGTATCGATAATATTCTATTCTCAGGCGGAGTTGATCCCACTCGTGATTTTTTAATTTGTTTATCTGGTGGCACTCGGAAGGTACGTAAATTTAACTTCATTAGGATTATCCTTTTTGAATTTAAATCTTACATTAATTGTTCGTCTTTTAAATTTGCGATGTATCTCAAAACTAGAAAAAAAAAAGCATTATAGATTCGTGAATTTCTAAGTTTAAAATTAGAAAATATCTTTTAAGTCACCTTTTTGAAAGAGAGATTCGAATGATCGAGTGTATATATCTGCAAATTGCATAGAGCATCAAAAAATAGATGAAAAAATAGAAAATTTGGATCGAGTTTATCGTTTATACATTGGAAAAGTTTCCATTAACTTTATGAACGTGAAAGGAATTTTATTATTTCAAATGATTTATTAGAATTATCTTCCTCGCATATTTTGGATGTTTTGTTATGAATAGTTAAAAAATTTTTCTAATGGATTCAATATCGTAAAACGTGAGTAAGTTAAAAACTTGCCGTGACGCCTTGTCCGGTAGCACCTCGTAATTTTCAGGAATCCAAACAAAAGCGAGCGTAGAGCTAATATCGGAAGTGTTTGGATTTTTTCGCTTTTCGAGAAACGCTCCTAAAATTTCTATAGTGTTTCTGTCGGTTTTAAAATTTAAGTCGGACCAGACTTGTTGCCTAAATTACGAGCAGACATAAGGCCGACAAAAAGGCCATTCTTCTATCATAAAAAGTACATATCAGTTTCCAAACAACACAAAATCCTCTCTAACGATTTTGTTGACGGCATATTCCGAGACAGTACACCAATGTAATTTTTAAAGTCGCTTCGGAAGTTCGTAGCTGGAGGGGGGACGAAACTAGAAATTCCAGTGGTATATAGAGAGCCATTAGACCGACTCTACATTGGTAGGGGGGTGGAAACAACAACGACTTTAAGGCCACTTCAAAAGAAGAACCACTGTGAATTGGTTGTCAGTGGGGCGAAGTAACTACAGTCTACCCAAGAAGTAATGTTACATCCAATTCGATACAGGACCACTCAGATACTTACTGCTCCCAGGGTTGGGAAACCTACGTGACGGAAATATCAGGCGGAAAAGGTCGGAAATCGTGATCGGAAAACCGTTCCCGATATTCCGATCACGTGGTAGGGCTTCAGTTTCCAACGAATCTCCCGTTCTTAAAATTGGTATCGGCTGTAAAAACGGTCTTCTCTTATATACTTCTCCACCCCCTTCCGATCTCCGGGTAGACGTAATCGACTCCTTTGCAAATGGCGCTCGAACCCAAAGAGATAAAAATGGCACTCTTGTAGTAAATGCAGTTTATCAGAGTTTCGAGTATCGTATGTCTCGTCCGTGATTTTTTTTTCTTTTCTTTTAGCATTTTTCTGTGAATATTTTTTCATTAAAATTACTCTCCGTGAGTACAGATTTCATTAATCTCTAGCGGTGGTAATCGCTTGACCGCGGTACCTTACTGCACTTGACGAATGGATACTGCCCGACTTATGTTATTAGCGTTCAAATTAAACTCAATAATCCATCATATTCAAACATTTTTTTAATGTAGACAATTAATTATGTTTTTCAATAGCGTATCGACTTCGTTATCAAAAACCTGTTTCTGTACACGATATCGAACATAAATCACGTGATTCTCTTTTGTTGACTCCTCTTGCTCTTTAAAATAAAAAAATTTTAGGAGTTTAGCTTTCTCTATATTGCTAATCACTTTAAATCTCGAATCAATTATATATATTTAAGGAGAGCTAAAACGTGTTTTAACGAATGTTTTCATTCGTCTTTTAGATTCCGTAACATTGGAAATTCATATAATTACCTAACGCCGTATAGAGTTTTTATGGCCGGTGCTATAAGGCCGGACGTACCCTTCAGTGGCGGTAGCTGCGAGTTATTAATTTGTTAAGCGTCTTTATAAAAGATTGTATCCGGTCAACGACATTTAAGAGGCGGAGATGAAGACGGAAAGATCTAAATCAATGTTGACTGCAGAAACATATCGACGTTAATTAAAGATTGCACGTCTAGCGGGCTTGAACCGAGCATAAATCATATCCATCCTAGTCTTTCCTAATACGGAAATTGATCTTTTGAATTCTTGTTTCTGAATCACTAGATAATCTCGACAGAGAGATTTATTAAAGTCTATTGACAGCAAATTTTAATTTCGAGAAACCGGAATCGCTTTTGTGATCTGGAATCCATTCTATAATCGAAACTACCTGAATTCGTTCAGGTGTATGTTCTCGTAGCATTATTATTTTGTATGAAAATTCGGAATTTTTTTTTTATTTACTGTATTCTCCATACCTGAGGGTAAACTTAAAAGTTCACGGTGTAACGATTACCACTTATCTACTAAGATAATGAAGAGTGGCGATGTCGAGAATCTGAATTTGTAAAAACTTAACAGAAGTGTGATTTGAAATTAAAATTTTATTGTTGCTTTTATACAGTTTTAAAGATTTTAATCTCTAACAATAGCGGAGAAAAAAATGCAGAGGCTCCCCCGCACAAACGTTACGTAGCATGATGATGATTCCATATATAGATAGGTCACAAGAAGAGTAGTAAAAATGGAGGTGGGAGCGCCCGTAAGATTAGCCTAAAGCCTTTTTTAACTCGGATGTTCTCATGAGAATTTAATAATTCTTTTCCGGATGAATACAACCAAGAACGCCTTGCGACTCATCCGAAGATTTTTGTAATTTTTTTTCTACCTTCATAATTATCTGAAGATTAAGCGATGTAAGGAATTCCACTTAAAATCTTAATTTATTAAAAGATAAATTATAGATAGATCTCCCTTTTATTGTGTTAAGTATTACTTAGAAGAAATCTCCAGCTTAATTTTAATACTATTTTCGTCGTCATCCCAGCTTTTGTGAGGTTTCGAACAAAAGATTAATTTTTGAAAGATGGCATTGGATAAACAACTTAATTAAGTTTACTCATTGTGTGCTAAAGTATAAGAAAAGATTTCAACACTTCTGAAGTAAAAGGAAATAGAATTTTATAGTCAACAGACCAGTCAGTGGGAGATAGAAGGAAAAAAAATGCAGAAAATTTGGGAGGAGAATATGATGGACGAGTGTTACTTCAGAGTTCAGCCATTCACCTTTCTTATGTCTGGAGGGCATAAGCTTGATGTTGGCCTCACATGTCCACCCTTTGTTCACATATAATTACATTAGAACAAGCAAAGCCGAGCCTGGAACATAACACAAACTTAACTAAACATTCTTTTTTAGATGCTGGCAGAAGGGTATAATACTCTCGGCCGAGTAATTTAAAGCAGGGTGAGGCTCGATTTATAATTAAGTAGGTTGTGGTAACAAGGAAGATCAAAAATACTTCTGATGTTTTCTAAGAAGTCTCGATTTCTGGGCTTTATTGTTACATATAGAGCAATTTGAACCCTCATAAAATTAAGGTCGACCAATGGTATTTGGAATAGCAACGCCTCTAATTGGACAGGATCGTAATTTCGTAACTTTTTACGTTCTCTTCGTGCTCGTTTAAGCGGTGATAGAATTTACCAAAATATTCTCAATTGATGGTAATGAGGAGGAAGTCGCAATTTTTGGATAATGGTTTTGATAAATGGTAACGTAGATGACACAAAATTGTTTGCCAGTTATCTTAGTCCGAGTTAAAGGGTTTAATGGGCGTGATGATAAGGTTTTGAACAGAGGAGAGGTTTGATTAATCGTCCCTCAGATAAGCTTATATATTAAAAAAGAATTTTGGAAAATTTCATAATGCTCTATCATTTTCGTAAAAATGTTTATGATGTCATATTGCTGCCAAAATATTTTGCATTGGGAGCTACCCTTCACTGTGGATAATCGACAGATAAAGGTATGTCATAAGGTAGACTCTCCCTCGTGCGGTCTGTACCCTCCGTTCTACCACCCTCCTTCGACCCCACCTATCTCCACTCAAAAACGTCTTCATCAACAGGTGATTACATTTTAATTAAATTTACGTAAAATCCGTTTCCGCGCTAGCGAGGATTTTACACCACTGTAGTTTTTTAATCTTTATTGAATTCATGCAATTCCGTATTAGTCGAAGATATCAATATTCTAAACGTATAAAAATTTTAGAAACAACTCCGATTCAATTACTTTCTCCTTACAGACGAGGCGTTGGAACTTTCATTAATCCGAGAAAATTGCTATTTGACTATTTCCTCCCGCTTTTCGGC